ATAAGCGAATTTGATAATTTGCGTCATTTAAGCTATTTGCAATTAAAAGGAATTTTTATGTGCCAGTCTTATTAAATAAAGAGCTTATAATTAAATCAATTGAGATAGATTAAAATTAAATATTAACTAATTTTGATATAAACTTTATGATATATTATTTTTTAGCTTTTCTAAAATGTAAATGCGGCTTCACATGCAAAATTTTGAATTGCGTAGTGGTAATTTTTTAAGAAAATGTAATTTCGGGTTACACCTAATCAAAATTGGCACTAAACTTTTTTTTTGAAAAATTTTATTTTCTAGAATTTAATTGCGGTTTAAGATTCAAGATTTTGTTTTAAATTATAAGCTACCCGATCATGTAATTGGTGTGGTAGTACTAAACTTTTTTTGTAATTTTGATCTTGAAATTAGCTGAAATTTCATTTTTCTAGATGTTTTCTAGAATTTAAATGCGGTTTTATATGCAATATTTTGAAATTGCATAGTGGCAATTTTAAGGAAAAATCTTTAATATCAAGTTGCCTCATCTTGAATTGATGGAATTCTTGAGATTAGCATGGTCTAGGGACACAGAAAGTGCGATTTTATTTATAGGAATTTCAAACCCTATAAATAAAATCACACCTTTTCCGTATCCCAGGCATGGTTATACTTGGTTAAAATAAATTATACTGTAAACAATATAAAATATCTATGAAATAGTGCTTAATAAAAATAAATAAATATGTTTGATTATTTTGCTTTTTTGAAAGTTTTCTGTTTTAAAAAGTTTTTAGTATTTTTTAAATTGTTATAAGCTTCAATTCTTTTCGTCCATCATGGATTACAAAAACTTTATAACAAAAAATAGAATTCAAAATAATTTCTATGATTATTGTCTTTTTTGTGCCTTGACGAATCAAATTGACTTTAAAAAAGGCTTTTAATGAAATAAAACAATATTTAGTTGTATCTTACTCTAAAACCTTTAAGAAAAATGAAATTGATGAATCCATGGAAAGTATTTTTATCAAAAAAAAAATTATTATATTTTCTGCTGTACAATTTGAATTATCTTCATATGAGTGCCGTCAAAGGAAAACCTACAATTGGGCTTTAAAGTATATTTAGTGTATAGTTAGTTATCTGTGTGTTACCTATGATAAATATGTTTGATAATAGATTTGCCATAGACGGCACACAGATAACCAACTATACACAAAATATACTTGAAAACCTGATTGTAGGTTTTTCTTTGACGGCACTCATATAACAAATAAAAGAAATTTAATTAATCAAAAAAGGTACAATATTATAATTATTATATATATGATATACATTAGGCTGAGGTCAAATATTTTTTAAACTACTCGAAGAAACTAGCACAAAAAACACGTATATACTCTATAGCCTAAAAATTAAAGAACTATCTGAAAAAAGCGGTTTGGGAGATCTTTATAAATCTTTGCTCCAACCTGCAAAAGTAACGAATGCAAGGAATCGAATTATTGATGTAAGTAATTTTCAATAGCATTTTGGTTTAAAATATATGCATAAACTAATTAAACTTAATTAAATTAGCTACAACACCAAGATGTGCATGTTGTAGTGAAAGCAATAGCACGTGCACTTTCAAAAACATCTGAAGATTGCAATGAAATATTGCTTTCAGGAATAATTGACATTGGGAGTCTACTAGCAAAGCGTTCACAACTACTAAATGAATTAAAAAAAGAAAAGGTATGGGATTTACTCGATGAACCCATAGCTCTTATCCAATTGCCCGATGGATGTGAAGACTTTGTAAACAGATGTATTGGAGCTTTTACAAAGGACAAAGATATTAAAACTCCAAAAACAAACCGAAGTTTCTTTATCGGAGTTAAGAACTTAATTATGTCTATGTAAGTTGTTATTTCCAAATGGCTTTATTATAAATATATGGGCTGCCATCAATAGAAATAAGGCATATTGATATTTTTAAAAAATTAATACCTTAACTTTCACAGCTCATATCTCAATGAATTTCGAAGCAATCTTGATGGTTTAGTATTCAAACGAAAGCTTGGATCGTAAGCTTTCTTTGACTACTAAATAATTAAGATAGCCTTAAAATCCACGAGATATGAATTGTGAAAGCTAAGGTTTGGTTTTTTAAAATCAATCTGCCTTATTACTATTGATGCAGCCCATATATATATTAATTTATCAATTATATTTAAAAAACTTGATATTTGTACAATTTACTCTCTGAGAGTATATACACTTTAACGGAAAATGATAAAATCCACATGTATATATGTGTATACTTTCAGAGACACTATTTTAAAATTTATATTCAACGTAATATTGCTCTAAAAATTGACTAGACTTTTTAAAAAATTAGTGTTAAATTATGGCAGCATCCGTCATACCAAGTTGATGTGCCAGATATCAATGAGTCCACATGGGGACATAAAGTTTTGCAACCTATTGTGGACTTTATTGAAAATGGCAAAGAACCTGACCTTTTAGTAAGATGGTAAGTTACGGTTTTGTCATATTTTTTTAAAGCACAGCACAATATAGAATTAGCATGATATAATTTTTATACTTTGTATTTTCCTTTAAAAAATACCGGAATTTTTACTCGACTTTGCTCTTCTTTTATGTTCATTCATTTTCTTTTCGGGAATTTTCAAGACTTTTGCATTAGTTCCGCCTGACCATATGCTCACTGGCCTAAATTTGATTTTACTGTATAAAATTTAGATGGGATAAAATGCGCATGATTAATGAATCATGCACAGGCATGAAACCCATCTCTAAATTTAAAGTCATATTTCTAATTAAACACCAAAAATTTAAATTTATTTACCTAATTATTTATTTTTTAATTATTTAATTAATTATTTATTTATACATTTATTTATTTTTAATAAAGGGATGCCATTACCAGCAAGGCTACACTGGAACGAAACGGAGCTCAAGGCCCTGATAAAAAATTTGATATTTTCGGGGTTTATAATGATAAAATTTCTGACATGGAAATTTTATTAGGGGAAATTTCTTATGGTCCAAAAGATGAAACAAAAAAGCATACGGAGGGTGATAGAACAAAACTATCAAAAGGATCGAAAGATTCTTTTGATAGTATTTTAAGGAATCACCCGAAGTTTGCTAATTTCAATGCAAATCGGTTAAATGTTTGTTGTATTCACGCGCAGGTTTAGTATATTACATATGTTTATTTATTTTAAATCTATTTATTTATTTTAAATCTATAAATCAGATAAATCTAATATTTATTTTTAGGGATATTATTGGACCTCTACATTTTCGCTCAAAAATATAGTCCAATGTTTCGGATGAGGAAGTTGATAACTGTTGAGATCCCTTTTAGAATGGGATCTCAATTAATAAAATTTATCAAGGCATTATATACCTTTAGAAAATATGTGCACGAAACATTGGACTATATAAAAGAGGTAAATGTTGATGATAATGAAAGTAAACCTGAAGCCTCTGAAAATGAAAGCGATGATGTTGAAAGTGATGATGTTGAAAGTGAAAAGGAGGATATTACTATCCCTACGTTCGACACCCCAGTTGCAAACAAAATTTCTAAAAGAGTTTCTAAATTAAAATTGTCGTCGTAGCATTTATTTTATTTTATTTTTATTTATTTTATTTTATATTTATTTATTTTTTTATCTTATTTTATTTTTTAT